CTAATACCTATAGAAAACATTTTTTTCACTGTTCAGACTTCAGGGTAGAGTCATTTTTAAACATGGCTGTTTAAACACAGGTAGTCAAATATGTACTTGCGGGGCTTGGTTTTGGGTTTTTGTTTTGGGGTTGGGTTTTTTAGTAGTTTGGGTTTTTTTCTTCTAGCCATTCATTGCTGCTTGTTTTCTGTGACCTGAAAATGCTAATATCGTTTTTGATGTCTGCTGCCATAACACCCCTGTTCTTTCATGTCCCAGAACACCACTCTAGTTTTTGCCCTCTTTTGGGCAAGGTTTCTTCTTCTCATGGTGTTGCTATCCTTAAATGCTATAGAACATTTTTCTGCTATCTAAATGCTATAGAATATTTTTCTGCTATTTCTTAGAATTAATTATTTTTAAATAGCTCAACTCTGGAAAAGGAGTTAAAATCTGAAAAGGAACAGAGACAAACTTTGCAAAGAGAACTACACCAAGAGAAGGATGCTACCACTCTGCTTAAAACAGAATTGCAACAAATGGAAGGACTGAAAAAGGTATGCACAGTGCCAACATGCCCCATGTTCAGGATTAAAGCTGACTTGGAAGCAGTACAATGATTGCCTCTGTAGCAGAGTGTTTGTTCTGTACCACTGTCCCCTGAGGGGTTTCAAAAGCTTGGCTGGTATTAACACAAGTCTGCACGTGAAACGCCAGTGTAGGGCTCAGGTGATGAAAACAGCTTAGCAACCTCCTTTGCCACCTCAAGCTATCTGCCCTGCCCGAGCTGCACGAGTGTCTGAGCCACCACCATCAGTCAGCAGCTGAAGCTGAGGTGGGATCTCTGGGGACAAAAAGCTCATTGGCTGTCCCATGGTGAGGTACCCCTGCTCAGGTAGGAATGGCAAGTTCAGGGCTTTCAGTGACCGTGTGAGGTCTTTCAACTGTATGTAATAAAATAAGAACATGTTTTCAAGTATTTAAAACAACTGAATGCAATTTATTTTTTAAGCGCGAACATTCTTGTTAACCTGAAGAGAATTTGCTCCTGTGTATCTAGCAGTTTAGATTTTGAAGACACAGTTGTACACCAGTATCTGTCTATACGCTCGTGTGTGGGCATAGGACTGCTGCATTCTAGCTATGCTCAAGGATGTTTAAAGCCTGAGAATCTTCCTCTTTCTGGTAAATATGGTTAAATGATTTTGTTGTTTGTGCAGAACCCCTGGGTAGTTCACCCATGTAATTCTAAAAATCAAGCCTTAGAAATAGGTAGGTTTGTAAAGGAGCTTATTCTTGTGAAGTGCTTGGGTAGTTTGGATAGTTTGACCTATAACCTAGATCAGTCTTGGCACACAAAAAACTTTTTATGTCTCATTTTTTGCTTGATTTTATAGGAACTGAGAAAACTGCAAGATGAGAAGCAGCAGTTAGAGAAAGTCTGTGAGGAGCAGGAGCAAGCTCTTCAAGAAATGGGACTTCATCTCAGCCAGTAAGTTCTAGGAACTGAACTGCTCTAAGTGACGTAACCTGGAGGATGGAGTATCAAAATAATACAAATAATTTTAAAGCGCATCTAGTTATAAAAATCAATAAACATGAGAATTTTAGGAGGTAATTACTATGCATGGGAAACTAAACAGCCATGAAATAAAAGTGAGGGATGATCCTTGCATGAGTAAGCTGGCTGAGATAGGAAACAATACAGTAAATGGTGAGTTCTGGCAGTGGAACTGTGCTTTTCCCACGTTCTTCTGAATATACTGAAAAGGGGGCAAGCCTCAAGGTGACAAACTTTCCTGGTGATACTGAGCGGTTCAGAGTTGTAACAGGGAGCTAACTGAAGAATTAGAGTTTAGATTCAATGGCTGGACAGTGGAATGGCAGGTAAAATTTAAGACAACTAAATGTAAAGTCATGCAGAGGGAATGATTTTTGCTTTTTTCCAGATCAAAGTTGAAGATGGAAGATATTAAAGAAGTAAATAAAGCACTAAAGGTACTCTGCCTCTCATGGATATTTTGACTAAGCGCATGCATTTCATTTAACACCTTCACATTTCACCACAGTTATCCTACTTTAAAAGATGGCTTTTAAAAAATACCAACAATGTTGGTAAACTGCCTTTGAATTTTATTTTATACATTTATTTGAATCTACAGTGAGGTTTTCATTCCAATTTTCTAGGGCCATACCTGGCTGAAGGATGATGAAGCAACACACTGCAAGCAATGTGAAAAGGAATTCTCTATCTCGAGAAGGAAGGTAATGTTGTTCAGTGGATTATTTTTTCCTTTTGTCACAGAAAACAAAAACTGCTGTTGCACAGTTTGCTAGGGAAGACTGACGCTGCTTCAATTCCCAATCTTGCTGGCATGATAACTACATAGAGAAGTAATTTGGCATTTCCCATCCTAAAAATAACGTTCTTCTGCTTGGGTGCTTTCCTTGGTAGGGAGCTGTTACGGGCTGCGTTCTCTTGTGCTGAGGTTCATCTCCCTTCCTCCTCGAGCCTTGTGTCCTGGGGACTGGATGCTGACAGGCTGTGCTCGGTGCCTTTCAGTCACAGGGGATGGCTGCTGGGGCCCTGCTGTGTGGTTTGGGACAGCTCTGGGTGCCTGCACAGGCCACCCAGCAGCACAAGCACCAGATTTCCTCCCTGTAGAGCCGGGCCTGCGTGTGCTTTCCTGAAAGCCTGCTCCGCCTGCAGGGCCCGGGGCGAGTGCAGCTCCTGGTCGTGTTCAGGCCTCCGCGCAGGCAGAAGTGCTGCTGGGAGGGTTGGGCCAGTTGGGAATTGGAGGATGATGTCAGTGGTCTCCGAACGCTTTTTTTAAGGTCTGATTTGTCTCCTCGTGACACTCTGGTTTTAGGCAGCTGTGCTTATTCTCTCTGTTTGTAGCATCACTGCAGAAACTGCGGGGACATCTTCTGCAACACCTGCTCCAGTAATGAACTTGCACTGCCATCGTATCCCAAACCTGTCCGTGTTTGCGATACTTGTCACACTTTACTCCTTCAGCGCTGTTCGTCCAATTCCTCCTAAGGCTTTCGTAACCTTGACCACCCTAACGTTGGAAAGTAGCCATTATTTTTTTTTTAATTCTGAATTCCAGGCATCTTCTGTGCAGCAGACTGTCTGGTCTCTACTGTTTTCCACTGTAAGAGCAGTGTGAAATAATTTGTAGGGATTATGCAAGCTAATGTTTCTCCAACTGGAATAATAAAGACAATTGTATCAACTGTAATTTCCCTTAAAGTTCTATTTGAAACTAAAATGCAAATTCACTTTTCTGATTTTTATAGGTATTTGTATTAAAATTTGTATATGGCATTTCTACGTTTGTTTGATCCTGCTAGATGCCACTGTCTTTCTGCACATTAACTTCAGTTCCTCTGTATCATCACTATAGCTGCTCTTGTTTGTTTCACTGGCTAGTGTACAGTTTTGTATTTGCTAAGGAAAGTCAATTTATGAATTGTCTATAGAAGGAAAGAGCTTTATGAATGTGCCTTCTGTTCACTGCAGAGTCAAAAACTACACCTTGTACTTGTTCTGAAAGTCGCCATGAGCACATTGCTGTAGTTACACAATTAAAGCCTTTTGCAAAAACTGAAAGCAAAATTGAAGTTCTGATTTTTAACAGCTGTCAATCACAGATCCTGGAAGAGAACATTCTTGTACTGCTGTGCATGTCGAGGGCTTAAGCTAGCGATACCAAAATGCATCGAGCGTAACTGACCAACATGTGCGTGCTCAGGGACCGCTCCTGAGGAAGCCAGCGCTCTGCAGGCGTAACAGCTTCCGTACTTCCCCAGGCCAAGGGCAGTGACTCCAGCTGCTGTACCCAGCCCCAGCACACAGCTCAACCAGCAAGGGAACTGCTGACTTCTGCCTGTCTCTCATGAACAAAGCCCTTTTCTCAAGGCTGAGCAAGGCTGCACTCAGGGCCCAGGCAGGCTGGTTCAGCAGCTCAGGCTGCGATACACAGGGTGGATGGAACACCAGCTCCACTGCGTGTCAGGGTAGGGAGCTGCCAAATAACACCAGTGCTAACAGTGGTGAAGGCAGCACTGTCCCCAGCTGCACCTGTGCTGCTCATGGAGTGCTGTGTGATGCAGAACCGCTCTTTGCTAAGCGAGCATGCCATTGCATACAGGCTGTTTCCATCAAAGGTTTCACTTGGAACCATGCAAATCCAGGCCAGATCCACATTCTGCCCCTTGCCTGTTCCATTCCCCCCAGTGCTGCTGGAAACTCAGCAGGGACACGGGACTGGTGAGCTGGGCTCTGGCACTAGCCCTGCTCCCTCCCTGGTTTATGCTGCAGTCAGCAGCTGGTTGATGAAGCAGGTAAGAGCACCCTGGCTGCAGTATGAAGTGCTCAGGCTTTAACCTTTATCACTCCACTGCTAGCAGGGGCAATGGGGTTCTCTACATTGTAGAAAAGGACCTCAGATTTCTTTCTACCCCTTCACAAAGGGGTTAGAAAGCAAAGTTAGTGTTAATTAGAAAGGGCAAATTTACTATGGCAAATGCATGGAAGCAGATTCCATACTATTTCAGGGGAAGTTCCAGCATGCAGAAGCTGTAACTAAGCTGCTTATAAAACCACATCTTTAACCACAGCCTTGCCCAAGTTGAATTTATTGAAACACAGTTGCAGTAAGCACAGAGCACTTTTGCTCCACAGAAGAGACGCCTACAGGGAAGTACCAAATTACCTCTCAGCCCCCTCTGTGGCTCCGTAGAGCCTCAGTCACATCCCAGCCTTGGGGCAGTCGGAACCAACCCCCACTGGGCCTCCGCAGCAGCAGGTGCTGGTTTTCTTCACCAACCCCACCAGGCTGAGAAAGAGCTGTCACTCTAACACTCCACAAGGGCAGCTTTCAGGCAAGAACCATCCTTGGGAGCAGGCACACTGCTCACAGCAGATGCATGTTAAGAGCACTAGGGTCACCCAGGTAGGAACAACAATGCTGCAGGTATAGCTACACCACAGAAGCTGGAGGGCAAGAAGGAATGAGTTCCAGTTTTTAAAAGGAAGATTTATTTAACAAGTTTCACTTAGCGCAATACACCTAAAAAGGAAATCACAATACAATGAAAGATTAAATCAAGGCCTCAGAATTTTATACGAACACCAAGACCAAAATCCTAAAGTAGCCGTATTGCGTCTCAACACGTTTCCCCCATTAACTTAAAAAAAAAAAGCTTTAACGTGCCTTACAGGATATTAAAAGAAATAAACTAGAACTAACATGCCAAATGTTCACTTTGAATTTCAGACACAGCTCCTATATTGTTTCTTTACAAAAAAGCATGTCTCTCTCAACATGTATTCAAAACAGTGTTGGATGTAATATGGTATAAGAGCAACATTTAACGTAATTCAAACAGCTTTAACCTAAATACGCTTACTGCTTAAATACACTCCTACAACAAAACTAACTTGAGAAACGCTCAAAATTGTTTAACAGTTATAGTCTTTACTCAACTTGGTTATTACATCCTAGATGAATGTTCATTTCTGTATGTTCAAAAATACTGAACCTGAAAGGTTTTAAAATAACAATCCTGAATTCACTTACAGTAAAGCATAAATCACAAGCTTGTATTGCAAAACTGTTAAACTTAGTTTTTTGTTTTTTTGTTTTTTAAAAAAAGATGTGACCAAAAGTCAGCGATGGGTTACATTCCCCAGCCACCACTCATGTTGGACATGTTCGACATGCCGCCCATGCCGTTCACTCCCATGGACGCGCGATTCCCGCTGCTGTAGTAACTGCTGTTCATGGCGCCCTGGCTCCCGGGGTCTGAGGGGAAAACCGACAGCAGGTTCACAGCTGGTTCAGGCCGATTCGAAGCATCCTTCCCCCAACGCCTGTCCTTGCTGGGCCACCTCGTAAATACCGCCTACTGTGCCCAATACTGCAGAGTGTCAGTGTACAGCTCCATACCCAAAATTAAGTTTATCAGTTGTTCAATGAAAGAGCCAGCTCCGCCTTGCCCCCCCTCTTCAATTCAGCATTTTCCATCACCCTTCCGTGAAAGCGGGGAGGACCCAGCCTCCCATGCACCCTCCCCCATTTGTACTCGGTCTGTACTGGTTTTAAACCAGGCTGGTCTCCAGCTTCTGTACCAAGAAAGCGATCAGAGTAATGGAAGTCTGGAGGCTGGCATTTCCCCCCCCCTTTCAGAATAATTTCCCGCATTCCCCCCACCCAGCTCCAAGTTCCTGCTTTGAATTTATTCCCCTCCAGTTCTCCCGTTAGTTCTAAAATTCACAGCAGCCAAGTCTTCAACTGTCAAGGCTTGTGCTGCCCCGTCTGCAGCATGACCCCTCCACACCAGGGGACAGCACGTTCAGACATGCTAAGCCAGCTGCACCCAGCCCACCTAAAACCAGTGAAGAAATGCTCTTACCATAGCCACTCATGCTGCTCTGACCACCATATCCTCCTCCATAACCCCCACTCAGCTGCTGGTTAGCTGGACCACCGTAACTGGATTGGCTTCCTTTCAAGTTAAGGATAAAAACGTTAAGAGCTCACCTGTCACAGCCTGCTCCTTATCAACAAAGCCTGTAACTAACAGCCCCTGTACTCTGGCACTAGCCCTCTCACCTGGGTAACTTTCTTACTAAGTACATAAGGCAACAAGCTCAAAGGAAGTGACCAGGTTTCTAAAGACATTCCTACAATCAAGCGGCAGACAACAACTTTGAGAACTACAGCAAGTGCTTGTGACTTTCAAGCACTTGCTGTAAGAGTTTACTTTTGCCATTTCTAGGGCTATACGTAGCAGGATCAATCTGCTGTTGTATGTAATACACACCCCAAGAGACTTAAACTGGGCTTTAAGTGACCTCACACAGGACTGCTGCCCACGACAGTACCCAGCCCTTCAGGAAGCATGCCGACTCATTAACTGGAGTCACTCGTTTGTACACACTCCTGACAGAGACCTGCTCCTGTTCCAGACTGCCTGTGCGTCGCAGCAGCACTATGGCTCACCACTTGAGCTCACTAACTACTGCTCTCCACCTCATCACTTGCCTATCCTCCCACAAAACTCATCTTAAGTATCAGCATTAGACTTCAAACATTTTGTAATCAAATTACTAAAAAAGCAGCAGTATATCTACACAAACACCCCCACCCCCCAGAAAGAAAGCCCCCAAAACCAACCACCACCTCAATCTCTAAGAAACCAGACAAGTCAGGTATCAAGAAGGGTATCTGCTTTATCAACACAACAGTGGCAGTCATTTAGACTTGTGTTGCAACACGCACTTTGGATTTTCAAACAATTTTGGAGTTTGTTAGAGCAATTCAGACAGCTTCTCCAAATTCCAAATAGATTTTCCCTCACCACCAAGACCAGGCTTGAATGACAGGTCATGTGCCACAGATACATCCTCCATCACCAGACTATGTTCTGGTCTCCAAAAAAAAGGGAGGGGGAAGGAGAATAAAAGGACAGGCATCTCCCACTTCACTTTCACACCAGCACACTCCCAGGAGCCACTCATCCCACCACACACACCACATTCAGCACCACAGTTTATTCAACCTATTAGTTGTTCAAACGTATTCCCAAAAGGTTTATATACCTGGCAATGTGCTAGTGTTCCAATCTTGGACTACCCCTTCCGATTCCTTGACTGTGTGATTAAGACAGAATGTTGAATTTCAGTTTTTATGCCAGGCATAGAATAAGCAGGAGCTGCATAAAATCAGCCAGCTTCATTAAATATCAAGTGCTTGTTTAAAGTGTAGTTAGACTGTTTACACATACCCATTGCTCCCATCATTTGACTGCCATAGGCACCACCACTTCCTCCTGCTGTAGAATTCAAGAAGAGTTCTACATATCTGTGTTCTGGAAGAAGAAAGTTTTGCCATGAGAGCATTTCACACCAAACCCACACAGTTTGTCTCACTGCAAGTAAGACTGCAATAAAACCTTTGGCATTCCAGCTACAGCAGATGTGCTACACTGCTGTGCTGTATCTTTCCTAACACCACGTGTTCAGAACAGTCACACTTACGCATATTTGCTTTGTCTTTGGACATAGCGGCCACTGCATCCTCATGAGTAGCGAATTCAACGTCTGCCTCTCCGGTTACTCTGCCATCTGGTCCGATTTCGATGTGTACTCTTACAGGGTTCAGAGGTGAGAAGAACTACATACGAAACAGTCACACAGATTAAAACGCACCAATGCAACAGCTGAGTTTTACAGCAAGCCATTCTCTCTAAAGGAACGCTCATTAACTGCAGTGCAGTTGACACGTCCAACACAATCACAGAACCGTAAAGCCATGCATTTGAGAGCAGCAGATTTGGAACTCACGTTATAGATGTCGTTCTCCGTAGCTCTGTAAGGCAGACCTCTCATGTGGACGCAGTGGCCAGTCGTGCTCTGGAAGGTGGATCCCCCGTCGCCGTATCTGTGGTCCGACATTCCTGCAGAGAAAAGAGTCCATTCTAGGTCTTTCAGATGTATTTTAGTTTCTTTTGAGATGTATTGAAAGTTTAGTTACTATTCCTATTAGAGAGATCTTACCTCTTCCAAATCTATCAGAACCAAAACCATAGCCATCATTATACCCATTGTAGTCATCATAACCTCCATAACCTATAAATAGATTGGACAACATGTTCATTTCAACTACAGAAAGATCCAAATATACATGAACACACTGCAGACAACTAGGATTATAAAGTCTCATTTCTTCTGGAAGAATTAAAACCAAGGACATATACAAACCAGTAGTTACAAAGCAGGGAAGACACTACCCGGTCCAAGTGTTGCTGCTTCTCAGATGAGCAGCTCCCTCTTGGACTTCGTATACTTACCTCCTCCGTAGGCTCCACGCCTCATTCTTTCCAAGCTACTTCCTCTACCAAGACTGTTATATCCCCGCGTAAGACCAGGTCTGTCGTAAGGACCGGGTCTCTGCATTGCCAACAGCTTGCGTGGAGGGTCGTAGTGAGTGCGCACTTCCGCTCGACTACTCTTGAAGATCTCAATGTACCTAGAAGTGTTTCCACAGAGAGAAGTCAGTCTTCAATTCCTTCCACGAATACCTCACAACTTCACATTAAAACAAGCCATTTAGTCATAGCCTTGAAACTGGCAGTGTATTTTAAGCCAGGTTTCTTTACATTATGTAGGCAATGACATACTATTGTAAGTATTACATTACTTTCAAATCAGTGTTTTTTCAAGAAATTACAATTACTGAAGGGTTTCCATGCTCCTCATACTTCACAGTATCCCAACCTTAAGGGTGGGGGAGCAATATTGATTCCCCACCCTCCTCCCCCCAATTTAAAAAAGTGTTAGTCAAAAAACATAGGAGGGACTGACGTCCACTCAACTCAGCACTGTTTTGCTCATGTGGCAATGTAAACAGAGGGTTAAAAACCCGGTCTCCACCAAGATTTTAACCCATCAGGATGCTACAAAAAGCTCTGCATGTGCTAGTGAACCCAGCCTATGCTTCAGTGATTCAGCGTAGGCAAAAAGTGCATGCTTCAATGAAAAATAGTCACAAGTAAAATAGAATAAAAACCCTTTGTGACAATTTCTTGAAAGCTATGCTTATTACATTGAAGATTAATACAGTAAGAAAATTTGTTACATTTCAACTTATAAAACAAGTTTAGAAAGTATCACATTTTCTTATGGTAGTAAGAGTACTGTGCATGTCTTTAGAGCTAAAGGCATAATTGGTGCTATTTGAGAAGTTAAAGCCATAGTCTCTCAACTTTGTTGCTTTCAAGCTATCAGTTTTGCAGTCCTCTGTTATTACCCAGTTTCCAAAGTACACTTAGACTTAGCCCAATTTTTATCTTTCATTTTGGGTAGATCCAAACAGTCTGTGCCATACGCACATTAGCAATACCTTTACTTATCACCGAGTTAGAGACCAAAATACTATTTCTATTCGGATGTTAACACTTTCAGAAGAGAGAATATGGATTTAATTGTTTACCATAAGAAAAGTGACATAGCCAACCAACCATCCATCCCCACCTGTGCCCTATTCTTTCCTTGTGTTTCTTTAGAGCCTTTTCAGCTATTTCCTGTGAAGCAAACTGCACGAAGGCCTCCCCCGTACTCCTCCCCTGGAAGTCCACCGGCAATGTTATCCCATTTGGCACGATTTCCAACCCTTCAACCCAAGGACAAATAACCCCAGTAGGGGGGCAATATTAACATCACAAGCCCAGTCATGAGTTTTTCTTATAGCTTTAAAAACACCAGAATTTTAACACTTGTAAGTGAATGGTATGTTGATTCTAGAACACTAGAAGAAAAAGCATGTCAACAAAGAGAGATCCACGATCACATACCATTCAGTTTACGTTCTTAACCCACCCTGCAGAGCACAGAAACGTTCTGAGTGTCAGGGACAACTCCTCAGATAAGGCATCTAATGCAGGGTGCATTAAGAAGTTCACATATTATTACAAACCTCTTCAATTCTGTGAAAGTATTTACGATGAACTTTTTAATATAACTTAAATTGAAACACAGCAAGTTAAACAGCTTTATATATAACAAGTATTTCTACTAGAAGTCACTCAGGTAAAATAGTCAGTCTTATGCAAACATCAAGTTTCAGCATTAATTTTTTTATCTTTAGGAGTGCTTAATTAAGAAAAAATCATGAATTAATTTCAAAAGTATTAGTTTCTGAACAGAAGAGGCACATTTTGTATATTAAGCACATTAACAGTTTTTAAAGCTTGAATCACTTAACCATGTAAGAAACAACTTAAAATGCACATGCTTAGGAATTGCTCTTGTTCACAATATATTACTGATTCAGAAAACAAAAAACAAGTTCTGAAACTGTAAAATTGGAAATATTTCTACTGTATTTTAAAGCAAAACAGTAAGCTCAATTGTATCTTGTTATAGCAAAACATTCCAGCTATTTTTAAACACTCACATTTAGAAATCTACTACACTGAAAACACTAACAAAAGAGTCCTAGATAGGTCAACAGATTTCATTCTTAGGCATTTATAATAGTATTCCAGTTCCTAAAACATACAACAGCTGCAAAAAAGTGAGAATGAGTCAATTCAAGACATTATCTCTTCATCCATAAAAACTTTAAGCTAGACAACTTCAAGGGATTTTTTTCCCCACCCCCTAGGAAGTGGAGGGGGGAAATCTGTACTTGGGTGGAGTTCAGCAGGTTGTTTTTTTCGGAACCTTATTCAATACTAAATCTACATTTATAGTCGCAGGCACAATGCGTGTACCTCCTCAGATCCTGCCTGTTCCTCGTACTGAGCCCAGCAGTAAGGGTGTTCTAAATCCTTCACTGAATAGCATGAACCAGCTAAGACTGCAGGTGGAAATATCCTCCCACCTGAATTGTTCACTTATTTAGAAAGCAAGACACATGTTTTCTGCTATCCTTACTTAGAACAGTATGTCCTGCTAAGTATAAGTTAGAGCTGCTTTTTGGAGTTCCCTCAATTAAGTAAACAAGTACTTTAGGAATTGATCCCTCAAGCCCAGATAACTAATAAAGAATTTCTTATTTACTTTTAATACCCATCAGTATACTGTTGGAAGTACTACTGGGCAATCCACGGTGGTGGGGTTTTTTTGTTTTGTTTTGTGGGTTTTTTTAGCATAGACCAATAGTGCTATAGCTACTACTTTTATCCAACATACCTGAAAAAAACTGTACAATTTCTTCTTTACTACAGCCAAATGGGAGTCCTCTAAGACGTACAAAACCATCATTAGCCGTATCAGGGCTGTTGGGACCAGTATGCTTCAGAACCCAATCCATTTCAACGTTGTTTGACTTGAAAACTGTAAAAGGCACTTAGAATTAATGCATTCTGGAATATGCAACAGTTTTAAAAGTCATTTGCCTTGAAACTAGTCAACTTATGATATACAGGTCCATTTGTCCTTTCACATGCATTTTAAAGAGACAGAAAAGCAATTAACCAAAAACTGATCAAGCACAAACACATTTAGTCAGTTACTAGACCAACTGAGTCAAACCTTCAACGTATCTGTGTCCCATTGTTTCTCTGTCTTTTTTCAGTGCCAATTTCACATCCTCCTCCGATTCAAGTTCAGCAAATGCTTCTCCACTTGGTCTGCCCTCCCTGGTGTAGATGAAACGGATACCCAAAGCCCCATTTAGAATTTTGCAATCTGAAAATGAAACAGGAAGGCCAGAATTAGTTTAATTATTACAGGAACATTGTGACTTTAGAAGTTTCAGATATTCTAAAAGGAAAAAACAACGTTCAAGTTACATCAAGACGACAAAACCAGCAGTATTCTTGTTCTAATTTTTACAGTGACTAATAAACTAAGGGACTAACTAAAATCAAGCTACCCTTCTCATCAAGTTCATAAGGATATATGCAAATTAGCTATCTGTTTTCAAGGCTTTGATGCCTCAAGTTGAACGTGCTATCTGCTTTGGATCATAAATGACTTAGACTTTCTCACCAGCTTGAAGTGAAATCAGGAGTAGTAACTAGAAGTGTAATGAACTAAATCAGAACCAAGTCCAATATGCCAAACTCCTCAAGCAGCTTTAAAATCTCCAGCCACTGAAGAAAGCATGTATTTATCACCACTATTTATTACTGCAGGATGCCAATAATTTGGGGAAAGGACACAACACACTAAACACTTAATACAAGGGAGCCTATTGGGACAACACGGAGAACTAAACTGATTTAGTCCAACCTGAAGCAAGAATTTTGAAGTTTTCTTTAAAATGGAAGCTTCTCTCTTCTGGCTGCTCAAGAAGCTATGTGGCTCAAGTGCTCAAGAAGTTGTGGCTACCCCAGCAACTTGCAGACTAAGCTCCTTTGCCTCTAGTTCCCGCTAGCAAAAGTGCAGCTTTTGAGGTCCTAGCTGAGCCACTTGTTGCACTACAAACTTCATGAGCTACTGAAGTGCCCTGAATGCATTCTGGAACTGTTCACTGCAGCACTGCCACAGCGTCGCCTGGAGAAACCCAGAACTGACAACAGAGCCCATCCTCCCCCCC